CTTTATTTTTTATTTGATGTGCCATACAATAGATAAAGAGATAAACTGTCAGTTTGCCTCATTAAAATATCTCAGACTCTCAGTGCATTTGGCTGGATAAATCTCCCACAGTTAGATTCCTTGTCACTTCAGCCTGTGTCTGGTACTTCCTGTTCAGGTCAGTCATGTAGGGCTGTGTGAAGCTTTGGGTGCTAATTTGATTTGGAGGAGAGTCAGCCTGAAATCCAAATTGGGAGACCAATAAAAGGTCTGAATTGATTTGAAACCTTCAAATCAATTTGGAAAAGATCAAAGAAAGATTCCGCAATTCAGGCAGTCCCCGCTTGCCACTTCAAGGAGCTGAACCCGGGCTCCATACTGGTAAGTGGGGCAGGGGCTACAGGAGCAGGGAGGGGAACATGGGGAGACTCCCACTAGGACCCATCCCCTGCCTGCTTCTCCAGCCCCCTTGAGTGCCCCCAACCCTCACCCACTCTCCCAGCCCTGTCAATGGCTTCCTCACCTGGCCCCAGGATCCTGGCTCTTAAAAAAAAAAAAAAAGGCTCGCATTCACTGGCTGCTGCAGCAGCCATCAGGGCTTCTGGGGGCTCATGGCAGAGTCCCCCACACAATACGGGGCAGTGGGGGGCAGCAGGGATCACCCCCACTCCTGGCAGGAGGCAGTGAGTGTGGGGCTTTCTTTTTTTTAGAGCCAGCAGGCTGGGGCCAGGCGGGGCAGCCATTGATGGGGCTGAGAGAGTGTGCGGGGCATGGGGTCCATTTGATTCAGAGATTGAGCTGATTCAGTGGTGGCCGAATCTCCAAATCAGATTCAGCCAAATCGATTCGGGACAGTGATGCAAATCACCAAATCAAATCACTGTCCTCTGAATCAGCTGAATCTGAAGCAAATACTAGCTGCTTCACACAGGCCTACTGTCATGGTATAAATATGTTAAATGTATTTGTCTCTTCATGTCTTCCTTCAGACTTCCTACTTCATCTGTAGCTCCTGAATTTTTAATTCTACCTTTATTCTCCAGACTCTTCCCTTTTCCCTCCTTACCTTTCTCCTTCTCTTTAGAGCACCTCCAGTTTCCATTCTTACATCTCTAGAGAATCCCAGGATAATTCACGCTTCCCCCCTGCTATTTCTTACACCCCAACAGAACTGCACACAAATATCTGAAGATTCAAGCTTGGTTAGCTCTTGCTGAAGACAAACTTTAACTCTGAATGCTTGATCATTAGCTGAGAGTGAATTATATATAATATAATATATAGTATTATACATTATTCTGTATATATTTATGTACATTGTATAGTTACTGTTTTCAATGTATTGGTAAGTTATATAAATCAACCAATTAAAACTAATCCTACAGAGTTCTAAACTTGCACTCCATGTCATTGTACTGTTTGTGGCAGGGATGCCACCCCGTGTATGGGGGGTTTAAGAATTTTTTTGTCTGGTGTATTTAGGAATTTGTGGGCAATACCGGTCACATTAAAAAGAAATACAGTACAAATGCTGCAGTAAAATGTTTACAGGTTTCTCTGTTTTGGTTATGTTCACACTTCAAATAAGGAAAAAGAAATTGTGTTATGTGACTTACATAACCAGCCATCATCGCCTGAATTGTGAATATTTGCAACAAACTGGTCTTCAGGCTTTTATTTCTAAAGAATTTTTTTTAGTAACCTTCAGTTAATACATTTGAGCATTTGACAATTATTCCATGAACACCTGAATATAAAAGTACTCATGAAAATTATTCCTTATGAATGATTTGCTCAGGAAAAAAGAATGGACTTGATAGTAGAGCTCTAGCCTGGAACATAGGAGACAAGAATCCAGTTCTCTGTTCCTCTAAAGACTTCCTGTGTAGATGTGGATCAATCACTCAGAATCTCTGTGTTTCTGCTTCCCTCTCTCTTGAGTGTAAATGCACTAATGACAGCGAGAAAAGGATTTCCCAGTTGGTCTCATAAAAGGTATCATTTTGGAACCAAGAGTTCTAGATCTTTGTATTTCTAATGATAGTGAGGTACACCACAATAGTAGCATTATATAAATAAAGTGGATCGATCAATAGTGCTGCTTACAGCTGCTCTCTACACTACTTTGAACATATCACAGGCGATGTTAGAAGGGCCCTAAATGAATGCAGGGCTCTATATACATGATATTCATTTCAAGACCTGGGCCTTTATGTCTAAGGAACAGGAGAAGTGATTGTTCAGTGAAAACCCTCCTATCTTCCCCTACACTGCTCTCCTAAGGCACCTTATTATGGAGTTTACCTTGATCTGAGAAATTTCACATGTATTTTGGAAAACCTGACAATTGCATCAAATGGGAAGTAATCTAGCATTCCATATCTGTTAAAAAAAATTGAGTTTATAATGTAACTAAAATGGGGTAGGGAATGGTAACATTAATAAGAACAAAGATGTAACAGGAAAATATTTTCCTTTTCTTGACCTTCGCATTAATATTGGAATGCTGGGTTAGAAGTCTATTTCTCGGCCTTTATATAATACTGCTGTAGTAATATGCAGCAAAGTTTATTCTTTAAGCAAGTAATTACAGGATCATACCAGCCATCTTCTATACCTATAAGAACTGATAGTGCTCAGTATTGAAAGTTAAAGCAGGAAGCAAGAGTGGTACAGACATTCAAAAAGCCTCAGGTGAAATTGATCTAAATTACGTGATTCTCTGTACATGTGTAGTTTAGATTGGTAGTGAGCAGAATACACATTTGGCCTTTGATGGGCGAAGGGGGCAAATCTTAGACTGCGTTCTGCCATTTTTAAACCAGTCTGCGTGTGCCAAACTTCTGTTCTGTTATGGGTATAGACCGGTTTTGAATAATGAGATAACATTACAATCTCATGTTAAAGAGGATTTATAGCCTCAACTTGTGTATTTCAAGGGAACAACTGTTATTAGAAGTGTCCTGCATATAGACAAATTAAAATCTATAGAACTTATTTCTTTCAAATTAGCAGCTTCTCTACAGATCAATAAAAAGCTTGCAGAACTCCTAGCCACCTGATCCAGTACTGTGTATTGGACTGGAATAAGTTAATAATTATTAATCTATATCTCTCCTAATAGTTTATAATGCAAGCACAATATTTCGGCAGGGGGGGAAAACCTTGAAATTGTCATAAACCTCTTCTCTTCACCTTTAATGCAACCTCTTGGTTTTTAATTACTCCTGTAAAGTGGAGCAATCACAGGATCCTCCTGTGACATTTTCAAGTTTTCTGTCTGCTCCACTTACGAGAAACAAATGGGTCTGCTCAGCTCCATCTAGATTGAGTTTTTCATGAAGTCATTACTTCTGTCACAGGGACTATTTTCAAATTGAAAAATCTGAAACAATAAATGATGGTGAAGCAGTTAATAACTGTTAAGAAATCACATTTGGAAAATTGCATTTAAGCAATAACCTTTCTCCCGGTAATTAAATGACAGAAAGGTCCTGGTTTTAATTAAGTCAGCAATTTATAGTTATGAAGCTATACTTCACTATGCAGATTAGAAGATGATAGGTCACAGAACACCCTGAGTGCATTTTTAGCGGAGCTGATCTGGTAATTACTCCACTGTTCAGTGGTGACCACAGTGAACCGTATCTCTAGATTAAACAATTTTCTTTTCCCTGCTCCATGATGTATAACTAGGATGAGTAAATGTACCACTAGGACTGCATCGAGCATCTTTAAATTAAAATAGATTTTAAATGAGGGGGCATGAGTGAAGGAAGTAATGTTTGAAGAACAGCGGTAGAAATGAATGGGCCACTAGTCAAGGCTTGCAAGCAGAGGATATATCATTGTTTTACAGGGCTTTCTATCTTGCGCTTGAATGTTTGGTACAGATTTATGAGGAAGTAAAATGCTAATGTTAGTGTATTTATAAACATATGATGGGGGTTTCATCTATAATTTATTCCCAGGCTCTGCATTATGCAGCCTATGAAAGAAAATGAAATGCTGTGTTGGACAGCAAAAGGGTTCATTAATACAGCTTTCACATTTTATTTAACTAACCCCCAGCTCATATTACACATTGATTATTACATTGTGAGATGTTTTTGAACACTTATTGTGCTCTGTTCCTCAGGCCTTTTGCTAGATACTTCAGTTGAATTTCAGCAGCGTTCAACTGTCTTATTTCAACTAGCACTAAGTATATTCACTTGGCCTGTAGGCATCTGAACAATGTATGTATATTTATGGACTTTTTCTCTGCAAGGGTTTGGGGTTGCAGAGGTATGGTTTGGTTATTAACATTTTTATTAAAATATATTATATTAGGGTTAACCATTAAACAACTTGTAACCAAACTGCACCACAGCAGTAACTGTAATAGGACATGCATATCATGTATGGTTTGTCGAATTTTAAGTCAGTGCTACCTTTTTTACTGGCCATAAACAAACTGGTTGTAGTAAAAGATATACATTCATTAATGGGCCAAGTTCTACACTGGTGTTAAGTGTAAACACTCAAGATCATCAGAAACTTGCCAATTTACACCAGAAAAGAATTGGATCCACAGACTATAATTTTATTATATACAGCAACACTGGATGGGGGAGGATGGAAAGCCAGGTACAAGATTATGGTAAGCACATTGCAAATCAGGACCTACTGACATTAAGTGAATACAGTAGATGATGTTTTTTTCCATTTTACTGATACCAGCATTTGTTTATAGTTTGCTAAGTTTATTCTGTTCAGTGTTCTGGTTGTAATTTTTGGCATGCCTTCTCATGTGTTCATTGGGTTTTAGAATTGTAGTATAAAAAGCTCACTTTATAGACTTGAAAGACCATCACTATGAGATTAAAAAATATTATTCATGAACATAACAGCATTAGTAGCAGATATTCTTATTAAATGCTCCCAAAATCTTTAGGCTAGCAATAAGCTTGAAGAAGACTGTTATCATGCATCAAGGCTCTTCAGAACCAGTTCCAGACATGACCCTAGATAGCACTCACCTGAATGTTGTTGACCAGTTTTTCTACCTTGGCTTTACTGTTACCACCAATGGTGATCTTGATGCTGAGCTCACTAGCAGAATCAACAAAGCAACCAGGAGCTTTGCTCTTTTTCAAGACAGAGCCTAGAACAATAACAAACTGTCAATGAAAGTGAAAATCTGTATTTATGAGACATGTTTTATCCACACTTCTATATGGCTCAGAAACATGGACAACTTATGCGAAACATATCAGAAGACTAAAGAGCTTTCATATCAGATGCCTGCATAAAATTCTTCAAATAAGATGGCAAGAGAGGGTGACAAATATTGAAGTGTTGAATCGTGCTGGTATGTCATTGATGGGAATGTTGATTAGTAGGAAAAGACTCAGGTGGCTTGGTCATGTTATGCAAATGCTGGATCACGGGATACCGAAGAGTATGCTGTACTCTGAAGTTAGTTAAGGGTATAGAAAGAGAGGCAGACCACTGCACAGATTTGGGAATACTTGAAAAGATGACTTAGCATCCTTTGGAATCTCTGTGGATGACTGGGAAAAGAGTGCAGAATGCTGCTCTGGTTGGCGGAGTCAGCTTACAGATGGAGTGAGTCACTGTGAGGCGGACTGAATCAAGTTTTGTGATGACTGGCATCAGAAGAGGAAGGAATCTGCTGCTTGGATTCAGAGCATTGCTAGTGCATGGGTGTGTCCTACCTGCAGGTGGGACTGTTACTTGTGCATTGGACTCAGCAGCCACCAAAGAACTCATCAGCACACGCACCATGCTCTGTAAAGAGTACAGTGCCAATTGAAATGAACTGGAGAATTTTAAAGCCATGGATTATAAATTGGAGATAGAAGCACAAGAGTGTAGCTTCACTTAGTAGGAAGTATGTCATATGGACATATGCGCCCACATAACTAAAAATGAAAGGGTAGGGCTGGTCTACTTTTACTCGGACCATACCTATCTCTGGCCTTCTGGAATTTCAAATGAAAAGTGGATCTCATCCTCTCTTATTTTAGGACGATATCCATATCTTCTTAAAGCCAACAGAAAGGTTGCCTTTGACTTCAGTGGGAGCTGGAGCAGGTCCCAGAGTAGGCAGAGTCAGTATTTTATAAAGAGTGAATCTGGGGGACAGATTCAAGGAAAAGAGAAAAGAATACATGTGTCAGGAGGCTTTTGTTCCAGACTTCTGATTGTAGACACACTTACGTATCCTCTGTTGTTGACCCTCTGTGGATCAAGGAATGACTATGTGATGTTCTATTGTTTAAAAATACAGTTTAAATGTATGCGGTAAGGAATTTGATACTTCTGGTAGGGCAGAAAGGAAACTTAGGAAAGGAACTTAGGAAGATTTTTTAACAAAAGGCATATGTCTTATAAACTTAATTGTGGAACATGTGGAGAAAACATGACCAGAATGATATTACATTTTACTTCCCATTTTCGTCCCCTTTTTGCTTTCTTTCACGTTGAATAAATTGATATTTAGACTAAACAGTGGCAGTGATTCAGTGATTACCTACCCTCCTACCAGATGTGATCCATATGGTTGGACACAAATGATCCTGCCAACTCATCCATTTAGGAGTTACTAGGTGACATGCAGAAGTCCAGACCTGAGAAAGTGTGTAATATAAGCAAGGGCATAGGTTGTAGCCATGTTGGTCTAGGGACATAGACAGACAAGGTTCTTTGGGTAAATCTGCTATAAGCAAGACACTCGTTTGGGCTTGTTTGATTCAAAACTGCATTGCAAATCAAAAGGACAGATCTTTTGTTGCATTGCAGTTAATGACAGTTTTACCCAAAGTAAATGGTAGCCCAGTATAATACATATGCTTTATTCAGTTTTCAGAGTCTTAGAAAAATTGGGTACATACAGGGTTAAAGATCAGCATAGAGAGCAACAGTTAGTTATCCAGCAGACAAGACTCTAGGTTCAATGATTTTGACACATTTTCACACTAATGAACTGTGAACTGTTTTCAAGAAAAGTCTCCAATGTAGCAG